GATCTTAGATAATTAGGTTGGGGTGGTATGGACTGGATTAATCTGGCTCAGGATCGGGAACAGTGGCGGGCTCTTGAGATCATGGTAATTAACATTCGGATTCCATAAAATGCGTGGGAACTTTTTATTTTGAGTGGCTGAGCGACTGTCGGCTTCTCAGGAAGGACTCGGCTCCATGGAATAAGTAGGGAAATAAGAGAACAAGCATTTTGAAGTTATATTTATTTAGTTTAAATTGATAATTTATTTACATCTGTGGAATAACTGTGAACGAAAGAGCCAATCAAGAACATGAAAACAATTGTGTCCTTCATCTTGTCTGGTCGCATTTGTTTGGCGTTGCCTTCAGTTTGATTATTTATTGTTTCCAATTTCCGGAGTAGAGTTCATGCCCCTGGATTTTGTGCATCCGCATGGCCGCTGCGTCTGCTGGGACTAGGCGGTCGCTGTTTTATTGTATTCAGGCTGGAAACAAGAAGACGGGCGCCATTAATGTGTGGACACGTTGGATTATTCCGGTGATGATCGCTACATGAAGCACGTATGACGGTTCTGCACGTAGGTTGGAGGATAATATTAAAAAAAATCTTAACGAACGGCGAGTTCGAATTTTCCAAGTTCCCCCCTCCTTTTTTCTGTCTCTAGGGGTGTAATTTGTCAGAATGGGAACCGAATGTTCAAACTCAGAATTACAATTGATGGCGTGACAGCTTTTAAGTTCGTGTACAGTTTTGCTACCTGTTGCGGATGAATTGTTACTACGTACGCTGACTCAGGAGACCTATTCATGTCTGCATAAAACCCGAAGAATCTTTTTAACCAGCTCAGTAAAACATCGTTTCAAGGAAAATCCAGCAAAAGGAAAGGTAGAAAATGATTTCTCGCTTACCTTAACGACTACATAAACGTTGAAATCGTAAACTACAGCAATTTGTGGCTTCAGTATCCATGTCACAGCCCAACTGTTCTCTCCGGCTCCGCCGTCGGAAATATAGACATCGCCGTAGTCGTTCTCCCAGATCGTGATGCCAAAGATGCTGTCTATAATCCAGTCGTCGGGGTACGAAATAGACAGTGTATTGCTATTATTCGCACTCAGTAGAGGAAGTTCGCCTTTGTACTGTAGCAGCTGTAGATTCTCTTTTGGAACTCCAGAAAGTCTGTCTTCGACAGTCGAGCTCTTCTTCTCGGAAAGACGACTTTCGATAACATTCACTCGATTTTTTGCAAGTGTCTTGCTGCTTGGAAAGGCCTGTGCCCCCTGCGGATGGCAGTCGGAACAGAAGGCCAATAGGCAGAAGACGAGAGACAATTGTAGGTATGTCGTAGTCGCCATGTCTCGCAGGTAGTAGATGACTTCTGAATCTGTAGCAGGCCCTTTATATAGCTCGAGGCGCACTTCACTTCTGTGTCATATAATTTTCCACGGCCACGTTTATCTTACGTCAAGAATTCTGTTGAACCTATTCTGCTGTCTTTGTGTTGACCTATTACTTTAATCAGTCGCCTGTTGAATTACGTCAAACGTATAGAAAGATAATCATATGTCTGAGGTAATTAAAACACTTCAAATGAGATTGAAGATCAAATGGAAATTCCGTGGCTGTTTAAGTAACAAAAACTTATCTTCGTATTTACGATTAAGAGCGCTAATATAATATTTTACACAACAAATATTTTAATATTATATAATTTTTACAACACCATTAAACTTCAAACGTTTGTGTATAGACTGTACAAAAAAAACTTATCAGTGTCCATCAAAATGACCTACTGGACAAGGTGTGGCTGGAACATTCTAGATTTGATTTCGAGAGGCCCCGGGCTCGGTTGTCTCAACAAAGCATTTCCGTGGCTTTCCTCAGTATTTTCGGATAAATAACTGCGCAGTCTCTTGAAAACGCGTAATAACACACGTTCTCATGGATCCTCATTATCGCTACGGTCCAAGATGACGTCATGGTCAGTGCAGCTAAGTTTTCGTCCTCCATTTTGCGACGCTTAGGGGCCATCAGCACGATTTTGACTTAAGATTCTAAAATTTAGTAGAACGGAGGAGAATACAGAGAGCTTAGAAAATCGAATAACGCAGATCACAATCAATTATTCGTTAGGTACATTTTTAAAATATCTACGAGTTGGTTGAGTCGACGAGGCTGGTATCGTTTGGCCTGAAGCAATGGGATGCTGCCGATGATAAGCGGCTGTATTTTATCACTGGTGCTTCATATGTATGTTAAGAGATGGCAAAATAATGCAGTGCCTGAGATCTGATTGGATTTTGTGCGTCAGAATGATAATTGTCTCGAAGCCTGTATAACATGAGGGTGGCCAGATGATAATTGTCGTCGGGGTTACACTGAGCAGGACACGTAGCATGAATTAGGATATTCAGGTTTCATAGGTAAATGCTGGTTATCAATTGGACGTCATTGGTTCAATGGGAAGTTGATCAGAGTTATTTATTTGGTGCTTGGTAAGAAGAGCTTAAGACAGACGTAATTTATATTGACTTAGGGATCTGGCGATAATTTTATTTCGTAATAGTACATTAAATAGAGGAAGAGCGAGGGGGAGGGGAAGTAGTTATGGTCTACTTAATTAACTCTTTCCATCCTGTGCTCAAAATGTCTCGCTTCTAAGCTTGAGACTCCCAGAGACTGAATTTCGTCCATTTTGAATTCGGCGAGGGAAACTTTTACATCCGTCTTTCGAAAGTTTTGGTTAAGCACGCGTCGTTCTTCAGCGGTACGAATTGTATTTAACCACGAGAAGGTTTCGTAATTAATCTGTAAGGGTGCAGGAATAATTTGTGTTGATTAAATAAACGAGGGGTAGGACACAATCTTGACTTACAGTTTTCGACGTCTGATTTTGAAATAGGCACCTCCCGATTGCATTTCCTTTTAGCGACAGTAAATGTATTTGTTCCTTACAGTGCAGTGACGTTTCGACACTTCACTCTCCCTGTTCAGAATCCGTTATATAAACAATAGTTAACACACTGCGCTCCGTTCCTAGATGTTGTGTGTGCGCGCCTTTCAGTGGCTATTACACAAAAGCATCTGGTAATCAGATTAGTGAAGTATAGCTTCAAAGCAGTTGCCAAATATAGACTTACGGACGATATGTGGCAGACATTATGAATAACCAACCTGTTGCGTTGTGCGTTGCTATATTTGGAGAACGTGAGACGCTTTACGATGCTGAAGCCGTGCTCCTGATATTTGAACTCTGTATATCAGGGCGTGTTACTCGGGAGGGCCATAGGTGGAAGCTAACTCCATGGAGAACGGTCCTTCTCGATCAGCTGATCAAGAATTTCCCCGCGTTGACATGAGCCTACCACTGGACTCTATCGTGACCCTAGTGAATGCAGTCCACAACCTCCTAAACGATTTCTTGAAGATCATTTTTAGTTCATCGTCATCATATCTACCACTGGATCTTCCAAGTTATCTCCTTCCTTCATATTTAACGAACAAAGTTTTCGTTTCGGTGAGCTAAGGAGTTGTATTGAAAACAACAGAAATAAATTTTTGAACCTGTCCAATGCTACACGTTTAGTCACGCCAAGAGCCATAAGTCTATAAACTTCCTTCCTGACATGGAATCGATTGCCGTATCTCGCGATCACGAAGCAGCAATTCACAATGTTTTATTACGGAGATCTGAGGACTTTTGCGGTGTTCTGTACCTCGTATAAAAATCTCGTCATAAATCGGGTACTGAGGCAGCTGTGTGCAGTGTGCCTGTACGTCGTCGCCTGACCGGACGCCTTGGTCGTGAAGTTGGTGCTGGGTTGCGGTGGTCTCTGTCGCACTCCGCAGTTCGTTTATATAAATTCCACAACTTGCCGCGAGACTGCTGCACCTGTAATAACTCATTTTATGTTGAGTTTTATGGCAGGAAAAGGAAATCGTCCTTCGTCTTCGCCATATTATTGCTCTGTGTGTGATAATTTATTGATACCTCTTTCGGGCTGGTGATAATAAATTTTGGTTAGGTTAGGTGCGGCCGACACTGGCTGGGGCACCGACCTCGTATTATTCGTCGCTGTATGACTTTTACTGGAGAACATCTGAAATTTCGGCGCTGCTTTGAGGACCTCAGAACTGCGCAGTGGTCACGCTGCTCTGACGACGTCCAACTCCGAGGCGAGAGGCTGATTACACCTGCTCCGCCGGTTAAGAGACTCTCAGGTTTTACAGGACTCCCGGAAGATTCAGTCCTGTTCGTAATCGCCCGCCTTTGTAGCCTGTCCTGACAAAGTTTAATTCAGTGTACATCATCGCACTATTTTACGTAAAAGCCTGTACTTTTTAATATTTACTCCTTTGTATGCCAAGGATAGCTTGCTTCCGTTGAGGGTTTCGAACGAAAATTTTGTTGGCATTTCTCATTTTCCCGACTGTCAGTATGCATCGGCTATCTCAATCTTATAGATTTTCGTCGCCCTAAATAGTATCTGCTGAACAGCACAAATTTTGAATCGTCTTCCACATATTCTCTTCAGCGCGTCCGGTAAAGTTTTTCCGCCACGATCGCCTTCCCTCATTCCTTCTTGTCGTAATCCATTAACGAACATTCCCGGTAAAGTTTTCCCTGTGCGTGTTCGCGACGGCATGAAAACGTATGGAGTGGACTCCGGAGATAGTTGGACGGGTGCCGTAGGACTACGTCGCCTGTACACGTCGAGGAGCAGTGGAAAGAAATGGGATACATTGCATACTGAGATTTTCAGTTCTCATGGCGGTGAATACGAAGAAGTAGGTGGGAGGATGATATTAAAATGGATCTTAGATAATTAGGTTGGGGTGGTATGGACTGGATTAATCTGGCTCAGGATCGGGAACAGTGGCGGGCTCTTGAGATCATGGTAATTAACATTCGGATTCCATAAAATGCGTGGGAACTTTTTATTTTGAGTGGCTGAGCGACTGTCGGCTTCTCAGGAAGGACCCGGCTCCATGGAGTAAGTACGGAAAGAAGAGAACAAGCATTTTGAAATTATATTTATTTAGTTTAAATTGATAATTTATTTACATCTGTGGAATAACTGTGAACGAAAGAGCCAATCAAGAACATGAAAACAATTGTGTCCTTCATCTTGTCTGGTCGCATTTGTTTGGCGTTGCCTTCAGTTTGATTATTTATTGTTTCCAATTTCCGGAGTAGAGTTCATGCCCCTGGATTTTGTGCATCCGCATGGCCGCTGCGTCTGCTGGGACTAGGCGGTCGCTGTTTTATTGTATTCAGGCTGGAAACAAGAAGACGGGCGCCATTAACGTGTGGACACGTTGGATTATTGCGGTGATGATCGCTACATGAAGCACGTATGACGGTTCTGAACGTAGGTTGGAGGATTATATTAAAACAAATCTTAACGAACGGCGAGTTCGAATTTTCAAAGTTCCCCCCTCCTTTTTTCTGTCTCTCGGGGTGTAATTTGTCAGAATGGGAACCGAATGTTCAAACTCAGAATTACAATTGATGGCGTGACAGCTTTTAAGTTCGTGTACAGTTTTGCTACCTGTTGCGGATGAATTGTTACTACGTACGCTGACTCAGGAGACCTATTCATGTCTGCATAAAACCCGAAGAATCTTTTTAACCAGCTCAGTAAAACATCGTTTCAAGGAAAATCCAGCAAAAGGAAAGGTAGAAAATGATTTCTCGCTTACCTTAACGACTACCTCAACGTTGAAATCGTAAACTGCAGATACTTGTGGCGGCAGTACCCATGTCACAGCCCAACTGTTCCTTCCGGCTCCGCCGTCGGAAAAATAGACATCGCCAAAGTCGTTCTCCCAGTACGTGACACCATAGATGCTGTCTATAAACCACTCGTCGGGGTACGAAATAGACAGTGTATTGCTATTATTCGCACTCAGTAGAGGAAGTTCGCCTTTGTACTGTAGCAGCTGTAGATTCTCTTTTGGAACTCCAGAAAGTCTGTCTTCGACAGTCGAGCTCGTCTTCTCGGAAAGACGACTTTCGATAACATTCACTCGATTTTTTGCAAGTGTCTTGCTGCTTGGAAAGGCCTGTGCCCCCTGCGGATGGCAGTCGGAACAGAAGGCCAATAGGCAGAAGACGAGAGACAATTGTAGGTATGTCGTAGTCGCCATGTCTCGCAGGTAGTAGATGACTTCTGAATCTGTAGCAGGCCCTTTATATAGCTCGAGGCGCGCGTCATTAAAGATATTGAAATTTGCGTGAGTCACTTCTGTGTCATATAATTATCCACGGCCACGTTTATCTTACGTCAAGAATTCTGTTGAACCTATTCTGCTGTCTTTGTGTTGACCTATTACTTTAATCAGTCGCCTGTTGAATTACGTCAAACGTATAAAAAGATAATCATATGTCTGAGGTAATTAAAACACTTCAAATGAGATTGAAGATCAAATGGAAATTCCGTGGCTGTTTAAGTAACAAAAACTTATCTTCGTATTTACGATTAAGAGCGCTAATATAATATTTTACACAACAAATATTTTAATATTATATAATTTTTACAACACCATTAAACTTCAAACGTTTGTGTATAGACTGTACAAAAAAAACTTATCAGTGTCCATCAAAATGACCTACTGGACAAGGTGTGGCTGGAACATTCTAGATTTGATTTCGAGAGGCCCCGGGCTCGGTTGTCTCAACAAAGCATTTCCGTGGCTTTCCTCAGTATTTTCGGATAAATAACTGCGCAGTCTCTTGAAAACGCGTAATAACACACGTTCTCATGGATCCTCATTTGTACTTAATAATGAGAGACACCATTTATCATTCTGCAGTATTAGTTTTCCAGACTATCAAATATTGTTATCTCAGAAAGATTAATTAATTACAGGCCTTTGGAAAAATTCCAAGTTATCTGCACCACCGACAACTACACGTACAAGCATCAAAGAAGAAAATACAAGAAGAAATAAAACAGCTCAAACCTGAGGGTCATTACATTACAGAGTCACAAAGAAAGGCGTTGCTTCAGGTGAGTATACATATGATGCCATTTGTGGATACCAGAACTGGTATGATCAGCTGCATAAACTGGTTAGGAAAGAACACTTCAATGGTGAATATCACAAGATATTTAATTTACACTTTGAGAAAAGGCTATTCTTGATAAAGTGACAGGTCAAATTACAGGTTAAGTAGTGATAAGCAGGTTGGTCAAAATTTCACCTTTATCGTACAGGAATAGGGGATTTAAATCTCCACAATATGGGGCAGATGGGCAGAATTCACCTCCCAGGTTAATGGTACAGATGTGTGCTATTGCCACACACAGTCAATTGTATTATGCATAACCCATGACATATGGATGATTAGGATTAAATAAATGTACTTTGCTTTAATAATGAGCCGGGATAGCTTAGTCAGTATAGTGACTAGCTACGGGCTGGCCGCCCGGGGTTCGATCCCCGATGGGGGCAGTATTTTTCCTCTAGCCTCTGCATCCAGACCGGCTCTGGGGCTCACCCAGCCTCCTCTACAATGGGTACCGGGGTCCTTTCCCGGGGGTAAAGCCGGCCGGGGCGTGAGTCTGACCACTCATCCCCATCTAGTGCCGAGGTCAAGGAAGAGAGGAGCTATACCGCCTCTCCCCCCAAACGCCTACATGGCGTATAGTGGGACAAACTTTACTTTACTTTTACTTAATTTTTCGTGATATTTATACACAGATTGTCGTTAATGCTGAGAAATTGCCGGCATTCTTACAGCAGCAAACATGTTTGCCAAGGCATTCGTCAAATGTGGCCGGTCTTCATACAAGAGCGGCATTTCCGACGACAACCGAATATCAGACAGTTGTTTCATGGAGTCAGCATTCGGAAAGCAGAACAAAATTTCATTGCACGCCGTAACTGAGCCTCAGCGATGTCTTTAACGTGAAGATGACGCGAGGACTGACTGGAACGTTCCGTGTTCCGGACTTCCCGGACAACGGGTCTGTCGACTTTGCCATTGGTGGTCCGGGTCTTGAAACACAGGGCAGTCACGTGGTCCATGCCTGAATATGTGATGGTACGTTTCAGATCAGCGCCAGGTTCGTTGATGGAGTTCTCATTCGGAATTATTTTTTGAAACCAGTGCAAAAATTATGCACACTTGAAACCATGTAATGGATTATACTTTTTTTTCGATTTCCATCTAATTAAGCTATTCTGACTCTGTAGTCCCCCAGTCCTTACAAGGGAATATCAGAGCAATATCCTAAAACTATCCACAACCACTTTCTAATGAACCCACATAAATTATAAATTTATTACAATGACGACACGTCTGGCCCCACATTATATGATAAATAAACTACAAAATCTAATAATTATCTTGAATGTTAGTTTTTAGCCAATTTTTGTTAATGTGAAAGACGATGTTTTTGCATCATTGAAATGTTACGTTCGAAGCAACTGACGAGTTTTCATTAAACTTGGCTCGAACGTTATGCGAAATGATGTTACTTCACCTTCGTACTTTCTAGTTTCCAGCCATTGTTATCCACGTGACAGGCGTTTCGGAGCGACATTATCAGTACTCAGTTAAAGTAGGTCACGGCTTTGGGGGTATTGTACCGTTCATTTGTTGTTCGCAGGTCTGGTTCAGGTAACAGAATGATTTGCGTCATTGGCATTAGCCCATTCTTTGATCGGGGCATTCCAGGTTGTGTTCAAGGCTTCACATTATCTTTCTCGTAGCCTGTACGTTCTGTTTATTCTTTAAAGGTGGCAGAGTTTATCAGCAAGATTCTACGCCAGTAGATATGATAAGATTGTACAAGTCGAGAGACTCTGGCAGTTGTACCTGTATCTAAATAAGGGTTTGGTTTGTTATTAGAACTATTGATGATTGTCTGAGGTATAATTTTCAGACTTTCGTGTGTGTTTTTGCTGGCAGACCTGCTCACTTGCTCAAGTGAAACTGAGCGTGTTTTATTATGAGGTAAATCATTCACCAATTAAAAACTCGCTCTTTAGAGCTCGGTAACTGACGTGCTCTTCCTTTGAGCAGTCAGCGCCGTAGTTAAACAACTGATAAAATATTACCTCTTGTTATGAGAACGAATTTTGATCACTACCTTCAGAAACACACCGCATCGACCCAGCATAAGCCACTTCTCTGTCCTACAGCCTTTGAAGTCCTCTCTCTGCGCCAGGTTCTACGTCCAGCTGCATTTATTCCGTTTCCCTATGTGTGCGACGTGCTCCATACAATTAATCGCCCTCGGAATATTAGATGAAAGGCACGATTACAAAGCCGCTCGTTGTGTATTCTGTGTTTCGGTCTTACTTCGCCTATTCTCGAAGCCTCTCGTTTCGTGCCCTTCCCCGAGGGCGAACTACCAGTTACTTCACTCCCGGTTTAGTCGTCATGATTCCTGCTTCATATTCGGAAGTTACTGTGTTAGATTCTGGATACGAAGACATATGAATGAGTCGTTGTTTCCGGAGGATGAAACAATCCACGTATTTGCGTCAAAGGCAGTAAGACCTTCCGACTTATTAAACGTTGTGCGGGACTGTTTAGATAGAAGTGTTGTTTCAAGGTACGAAGTTTGCTGCCTTCTGGGATTTTACTCGTCGCCCTGATTATGGGGGCAGGAAGCACCTTCGAAACGTCCGCAAACTTGTACCACACAACACGGTGCAACGTACCAGAAGACAGCCATCTTCAGCTAATTTATATTTTATTTGGGTCTAGGGATTTCAAGTTTTTTATGATATGTCCTCTAGATTGGAGACCATGGACATATTTTACAACTTGCATGGAATAGAAGTAAGGTAAATCAGGTTCACAATAAAATTTGTATAGAAACGTGACACGGTCCTTTATTTTCTTCTGTTCATGCGTGTATGTGTGTGTTCATATATAGTGTAACGTGAGAGCACATATTTTTCAAATGTTGTCATCGCAGCGCCGCAGTAGCCTCCGTTAAACTGCACGCTTCAAGGCCATGGAGGGACTTCACCCCCCACTCCATTACCGCGCTTGTCTTAATCAACAATACAGCATTCCTAGCGCTGCTACGGTGCGAGTTCTGAGCTGTCATCAGTCGCCTGGACCGAGCTGTTTCAGTGTCGCTAATTTCTGCGAAGCCAGCTCTGAAGGTTGCGGTCAGTGTGGCTTCGGGGCTAGCGGCTCACAGGTTGACACACTTTTCTTCAGGCTGTGAAGAGAGGATGTAGCAACAGTAAGATTTAAAATGATGGCGGATTCAGCAGGTGCGGTGGTCCGTAATGAAACTATCATTTTTCCTAGGGAGAAAATTCATAAATTTACAGTTTATTTAACACAGCTTTAAATAACTCAGATTGTGTGCCTCTAGTATCTAATGGTAGGTTGACGACAATTAATTGCAAAAGATGTGGAAGGAAGGTTTCGTGGCCCAATGTAATATAACCTGACTGTCCTCCTTTTGCTTTGAGTAGTGAAGAACCCCAGTCAACACAGTCGGCCTCTGCAGGACACATTTTGAACCTGGGATCTCCTGTAAATTGCAAACTTTTCAAGAGAGACCTGCAGGAAGTTAGTTGTACAGCGCACTTTGCTACTTACCTTGGCCAGGAGATGTGTGATGTTGTACTGGTAGGACCCGTACGCTGTGCGCGAATTGTTCAGCGTCAGCTCAATGTATTTGGCACCCACTCCACCTTCTGTAAGGGTCATCGTACCTGTGCCACTCTTCCACTCAGCGCCGCCCTTCACACTTACGATGCCAGCGCTGTAGTTTCCAAAAAACCACATAATCGCGTCAGTGCCTGGAAGAATTGTGTCATAAATTTGATCGAGGACATGTCCGTTTCCGACGTCTCCGTGTGAATCGCCTCCGAACACCTTGGAATGTGGAAGTGTTTTTTTCACCGGCGCGGACAAATCCATTTCTTTAACGAAATAGCATTTATAACTATTCATTCCGCTAACCTTTGCAGGTATATGAGATGTAAATTCAAAATACGTGTGACCTATACCTCCAGTGACGTTCGTTGAACCTTTTCCATAGTACCATATCGATTCTCCGATGCAGTGCTGTATCATTTTATTAAAAGTGAAAGAATACGTCTCATTTCTGAATTTTTTATGGCCCGTATACGTGCCGTAAGCCATAAACGTCATTTCTGTCTTTTGTTCTTTTTTAATTCTTCCCTCCAAACAAGTGGCGAAATCTTGTGACAGGTCTGAATTAAATCTCTGGTATCCTTCTCTGTTCTTATAGTCTTCAGCTGAGTAAATCTCAGTTTCCAAGTAAAGGCCTACCCCGGGTGGAACATCGTAACTGAACGCGACGTAGTTGGATCCGATTCCACCCGACTCTACTTCGACCGAGCCTTTCCCGTTGTACCACTCTGTTATGGTGGTCATGTTGGCTATCAAACCCGCGTCCATCGTGACTCGAGATGTCCCCGTCTTCGGATTTCCGGACGGAAAGAACTTGGCAATGAGCAACTTCGAGAACATCGCCCCGTTCTCGGCTCTTGCTTCGTGAGCGGTCGATTGAGGCTGTTTGCTTCTCACGCATGACTCTCCTGTTGTTAAATGTTTCCAGAAATGCGACGAATGCTCCTCAAATACGCTGCGTTGTATGTCCACAAGGCATTCAGAAATCTGAACGGCACAGAACAAATTCAAAGCTCGTAACCACAAAGGCAATGTTGAAAATAATTTCAGCTCCATGTTGCGTACAACTCGCTGCTGCAGATGCTAATCCATTACCATTACCTTTGCGTCACATGTCAGTGATAGTTTCAAACTGTTCTGCGAAAACAGTTTTTCTGTTTTCGCTTTAGTCTGTTTGAACAACTTTGATTGCTTTCGTAAGTATCTGTAAGATAAGATACGTATTACATTGTTTATCAGTTCTAATGACGTACAAATATCATAATTGCCGTGATAAATATATGGTCCAATGCGATCTTCTAGGCTGTTGACTCCGTGCCGTCTTGCAAGATTGTCGTCAACGTTTCGGTTGTATATAGCACTTCCGTCGTTAGGGTGAAGTATATTTTACCATGGTGAAAACGTCAGATCGTAGAAAATATATCGTTCTTTTTCCTTTTACGTCTGAGTCTGTAGATTCTGGTTAACGTTGAGAAAGTTACACACAGAGGTTAACCATGAGTGGAGAGACGACTGGGAACTGCCTTCTTTATTTTCGTTTCTTTGTGTCGTCGGTCGAAATGGAAAAGAAGAATCGTATCCTTCGGAGGACGCAGACATTCTTCACCAGGTGGAATGATACGTAGGAATGCAGAAAGAAAGTCTGGAGCCGATAGAATCTAATTTTTCGAAGCCCTGGCATGCACAGTCTCCATGGCGACAGCTTCTGATAACTTAATACATCACCGACGAGAGACATTTTATTCAATGCTGCTGGAGGATTAAAAGAGAATGAAGACGTGTGTGGACCACAAACCGTAATATATTTCTTGGTGTTGGCATTTTTAGTTAGTAGAGACGATTGTAAGATTTGCTCTGATGTGATAAATCTTCATCATGAATGATACGTTATAGTAGGATTTTTCTACAGTTTTCTTGATGTCGTCTGAGCTCGGGGCTCATTCGTTTCTCGCTCTGAAGCAAAATCTTCGAGTCCAGAACTGATGGCGACGTGGAAACAAGATAGACGCCCCGGTGACACAGGTTTCTATGGACTCAGGGTAGGAAAAGTCATCCTGTCATCAATTCTTATGTGGTCGTCGGCTTCCATCATCCAAGACATTGATCCGCATCTTGAAATCGAGGAGCCCGACGTTTCGGCATTGTTGAAACTGTTTGCTCTTATTATCCTCTATTTTAAAACCTTTAATCATTCCTCATTTAAACAGAACTTCGAGTGTTAAAAATGAGGTTTTCATTCCTTAGTTTGCGTTATTAATGGTATATTTTTGCGATTGCGTCTTTACTTTGTACTTAAAACGAAGTAATAATAACGTCTCATTTAAGAAAAAAATTCTTTTTACGTTACAAAACATTATATTATTACAGATGCATCAGTAGTTCGCTTTAATGAAGGATTCTGCAGATTTACGAAGGTTATTTGGATGTGATGAAAGGCGGTAGGTCATCAGAAGTGGTTCTCTATGGTAATGGGTTAACAGATGTAATGTCAAAGTTGGAGGAGATAGAATTTTCTTCCAGCAAATCTTTGTTTTCTCTGTGTCTTTTTAAAAGAAATATACCTCCTGTGTCTGGGAACGATACTCGTGGTAAAGAGATGCTGTTCTCGAGAATAATACAGGACGCAGGCCTGTACGACATCTCGCAAGCCGACGATTCGTTTGTCTGCGCTTAGCTGTACGCAAGCCGACAATGATGTACAAAATGAAGCAGATACTGAAGCCGGCAATAAATCATGTCTCGGACTTGTGAATGCGTTCTTGCCACAGACCACTGCACCTTTGTCTTTCAGGATGAGTGTAGAAATGACCGGTTGCTTTTGTGGCCCGTGCAGACAGGCAATAATTCGTTTAATTTTGGGGGCCGGGGGTCGGACCCAACCATGACTGCCGCCCCTCACCTGGCTGGCAAGTATAGTCGCAACCCCTGCAACCATCACCCAGGGCTGCACAGGGGACGTTCCCAACAAGTTCTGTCGTGTACGGAACTGCTTTGTTCACCAGAACTAATCCGAGCCATCGTTTGCGTAACTGACCAGTCAGCACAAACGAACGACGAACCAAATGTGAGAGTATCTGTATTCAAGCGAGACGAACCGATACGTATTTGGTAGGTTTTGAGGTTGTCACGGCGATGTTGATGGAGGCAGCAAAGGATCTCTTAAACGTCGGTAAACTTCCACCAGACCACACGGCGCAACAACCCAGAAGACTGCCGTCTTAAAACTGATGGCGTCTCCCGCCCGTACCTAAACATGTCAGCTACGGTTGTGAAATGAATAAACATTTCTCGTAACAAAGAAAGTCGTGTTGAGTGCTTCACCTTCAGAAACTTGTGATGTGTCGCACCTTCGCTACCTTCATTAATTCAGGAGGCTGGCACGCGATGGACCGGCTGAAGAGATGTTTGTATAACACCACATCGCAGTGTGGTTTTGATAGCACCTACAAGGACCAGAGATCCTGAAAGCTACATTAATATTTATGAGGTTCTTTTCTTTACATTGTGGTCTGGGGAATGTTCGGATTAATCTTGCGTGGTTAATGACCGGGGTTCAGGAAACCGAGAACCACGTGGAAGGAGGGCAAATTTAGTTGTAACGCTGCTATAAATTCGTATTAGTCACGTTACAAATCATACACCAGTGGGCTGCCGCCTCTGTGTGACTCCGTTGTAGGATAACAGAAGGCAGTATTGAAGGTGATCAGGAAATTATCTTTTGATATGGAACTCCTGATATCGTAACCTTCGTTTTGTAGTCCGCCACTGAACACTCACCCTGATGATGGGGGTAGTAACCTCGGCCAATCTTTACCAGACTGCACGGCGCAGTGTCCCAGAAGACTGTCATATCCCGTCTCATTGTATCTTTCTTTAAACACCGCATCGTGAAGACGTATGGGGGAGTGTAAGTAAAACTCCACATTTTAATCTCGAAACCGGGTACAGGCGAGTGGTCAGCTTGTACTCGAGGACGATCTTCCTGTGCCCTCCGCGGATGCCAGGGATGGCGTGACAAGATTGCTGCTCCTTCCAAACACCTGCCCGTCGTTCATATGAGCTTCCAGGTTCTCACGGCGGTAAAGATGTCGATACTGGTCTTGTAGGCTGTGGCGCCATGTAGGGGTTAACCGACGTTTCGAAGGAGTGATGGAATTCCTCGCATTTTGTGAAGATCCGTTACCGCGTTTATGATAATTCGCCACTTACTGTTAAACTTACTTGGGCTGATAAAAGGCCCATCATGGAAAGGTACACAGAAATCGTGGACCAGGTAAAGCACAGTTCCTGCGTGAACCGATTTCAGGGACACCCTGTTGTGGGGTGTGGGAACGAGATATTAATGTTACTGAAGCATGAAATACATTTAGTAACAAGGTTCACGTTCTTCTATTAAAGTCAAAGTTACTTTATTACGGAGCTTTTATATGTAAATGTTCGAGCAGCCTACAGCAGCTCTTAGGACGTACAAGCCACTGATAAACAAGCTATTTATTTCATGCAGCAGCGGTTTGCTACACAGAACGGATTATCCGTGAGTGTTTTATGACGTTCGTGGCACGGAATAATACAGAGTGTTTTAAGAAAAGAAGCTGTTTCTTAATCCTTGGTTTCATTGCCTGTACAAATTCAAGAATGGTGCCGATAAAGATAAAATGTAGACTGCTGTGTTACCAAGTGACGCAGTTAGACGTCTTGTATCCGCCAGACAGTGGGCTGGAGCTCTTCTATTAACATACGGTGCCACTCTGAATTCTAGGACATCCAGTGACCAGTGTGACGTAGTGGTTTATAAGGATGTTGTAAGATTGTCAGGAGGTTGCATGGGCGGGGCTTGCGTGGAGCAGAAGAACCCTTTCTGCGGAGATGACAATCGTGTTTACAAGAGCCAGACCTCACCAGACTCTGTTCTGGGCCATATGAGTCCAATCCAAACCACGCCTCTTTAAGATCGATTTTAATATAATTCTCCCAACTACAACTACGCCTTCCGGGTATAATTAGGTATTCTCAGTGAAATTTTGTATAAATTTTATGTCTCCTGTGCGTGGTACGTGCCGCTTTAATCTATTCTGGAGCCAATAAATTTATTTAGAATTTTGCTCACCGTATAAAGAGACTGGTTTGTCATAAAATAAACATCTTGTTGAAGAAACACGAGGGAAAGAAATTCATGTCAGGCTTTACAAAAAGAAGAGACAAAACATCGGTTTTTAATTATGAAGATATCCTATCTGCCCACGTGTCTACACGGCATCACAACACAGCAGAACATCATGATCTTCATCGCCGCGAGAACCTAACAAAGTTTTATTTCCCATAAATTTCGACTATGAACTTAAGGCCCCGGCTCTTCTGGGACCTGAAACTGACTGCCACGTGTCTCTGCCCCACCCCACCATCCACGACACTGGCGTAACCTCCGGTCCCACCAACGTACTGGTCCAGCGCCACGACGTAGGTGATCGTCACGTTACTGATTCCCCATGCAGGGTAGCGCAAGTAGGCCGTCGTGGTGCTTAGGAACCTGTAGCTCTGTTTCACGAGGTCTCTGCAAACAAAGCAGACGACGAGTTCTGTTTATGCATTTCCATGGTAACTTGTGTGTAATAGATAGGCCTGGATACGGTTTATGATTGTGTTTGTGCGTTAATCATGGCGGACCAAGTTTTCTCAGTAATGACGCTAGATAGAAGAATATTATGTTTTGAAACTGCTGCTACAATTAGGCATATTTTAGAGTTACATCAGAAGGAGATAATTTTTCGAAACTGATAGAGGAAGAGTAGACGAGGTAAAGGCCAGAAGGAGATAATTTTTCGAAATTGATAGAGGAAGAGTAGACGAGGTAAAGGGAGAAAATACGAAGAAGTCAGGCCCTCTTGACTTTCAGGGAGCCTTTCCAATTGCTACCTATTCTTGCAAAGAGAAGATATAGCTTCTTTTATTGCGAGGTTCGATAAGTGTCCTGAGATCGGCTGTCGTGAATTGATGATTTTTAAAGCAGGTGGCACATATAGTTACCGCCAGGCTTTAAAAAGATTGCAATATTAACTTACGACAATCTGCAAAGAAAATTTGCGGAAATCAAAGACGTCACTTAAACAATTCGAGAAAGTGAGAAAGTTTTTCCTCCGTGGTCCATAACGTTTCTTGCAGGTTAGGCTCTCAACTTCTGTGGCGACCTGTGACCTGTGACCCACCTGTGCAGTAGTCTGTCTCCGTATTGTCTCCATCCCTCGACCAGATTGTGGCTGTTATTACGCAGGGCCGCTTGCTGTAAGATCCCGTACTCGTAAGGGCTGTACAGACTGCTCGCCACCACACAGCAGATGAGCGGCAGCAGAACCAGAACTCGTGTCGCATGCACCGACGCTGATTGCATCCTGATATCTCGGCTCTGTACTCAGCGCTGTTCTTTCCTGTTCTACGCAGGCTTTTAAATAAGCGCGGATGACGCACGTGATCGGCAAACACGACTTAATTGCGTCTGCAGTTAAGTCGCCGGCTTCCGTTCTTGTGTCAAAAGTGCTATTAGTACCATGTTCCTCTTTTCCCCGTAATAATTTCTCACCCAGTTGGTGGTTGTTCTTAAAACTTTGTGTCTTGTGCTGTAACGTGGAGCGAGTTTCTGCCGACCCAGACGGGAGTTTCCGTAATGTTATTTTCCCATTTCGTTTTCCCGCGTGGTATCCTGTTTTGAGGATTTATGACTGAACTTTTGACTGCTTGTTTTATCTTCCCCAAGTGTGCTACATGTCCCAATTATTTCATGCATCCTGAATTTAATGACCCTAATGATGCTGGGCGAGGAGCACTGATTATTACGTTCATTTGGCTCGTATGCCCCTGTTAGGACCAAGTACGAAACCCGGCGCCTTCTACTCGTATACTCGCAGTCTCTTTTTCCTTTGGACTGAGAGTCCAAGTTTCACACCCATATAAAAAAAAACATCTGAGTGGATGGACGCTGTTTGTCCGCCAGAGTTTCGGAAACACTGCTTATTTGTCAGTTGTATATTTCACGATGTTGTATGAACTGCTGAGGTAATGTTACATGGATTGAAGTAAATTAGAGTGATTATTACTGAGGAATAAAGTGGGATGGAGCGTTTTGTAATCTCCAAGGTACGGAATTGATATTCGCCTCGAGGCGCCGAAGACTCCATCTTAAACCCGGCAAAACGAATTGTAATGATAGACAAATGTGTTCTGTGGAAATGACTCACTGTTGCGTGATTCATTACGTAAATAACGTGCAATTTCTTTATCTGTTCTTATCGTAAATTATTCGTATAATTATGCCCAGTAATTGTTCGTAAGAATTCTTCATCAACTAATGCACGGTCGACATCCACTTGACAACATTCAGAGAGATACGAAAGTGGGCAAATACCTCAGACAATTGACTAAATATATGGCGCTGAATATTCCGTACGTTGGTTCTTACTTCAGGTTTGTTGCTTGTAACCATCGAATCGAAAGCTGATGCAAATTTAGTACTGTTGAAATATTTGATCCAATCTGCCATGTGTTTCTAAGAATAAACACCGCATAAATCTTTTTGCCTAATTCAGCGTTGCGTAAGGACCGAGAGTAAGAACCAGGACAATGGAATTCCCAGTAATTCGATCAACTTGTCGGCTCTGAGCGAGATTTCAGGTTCTAACGGCGCAAAGTTTACAGTTGATTGCCTTGAACAGATGTGACGGAAGGGAAGAAGATAATTTGTACAGAATGCGCTACTTTTCTTTGTCGCAAAGTTGACCTTCCCTAGAAATGAAATCGTCTCCGTGTTCTGAGGCAGTCGATGGTTTAAAATTGTTGATCCTGAGTATCCATACATGAGAGAAGTGAAAAACCCCTCGATTCTGCTCAAATTCGAGCCGAGAACCCCACCAGCGTCTCTCGATCGGGGCAAGTTAGTTTCTTAAAATAGGCCACAAAATCTTCCACTTCTGCTCGTGGTACTTACGTTTCATTCAGCGGACGGGGTTGGCCCCAGGTCGTCCATCACCCTGCCTTCTCGCCCCTCCCTCTAATTGAGAAAGATTCGGTTAATTGTGGAACCACGTGGTGCCAGGTAACGAGGCTTTCGTCGGCAGTACAGTCTGGTGCTTGCAGAAAGGCAAAGGAAACACGTCCAGGGTGATATAAGTACCCCCCGTGCGCCGGTAAGAACAAGTGTCGCAGACGCCACGTGCTCTTACCTAGAACATGTGCGCGCATGGAACAGAGAAGAGAGGACTTCAGAATGAAGACCACGTCGCTGAGAACGGGCCGATCGAAATTGACGTGTGGGAGGTTGTGTTTGCCAGTCAGTTGCGTTCCTAGAAACAAATACGAATTACAGAGATCGTGTGGCCATGACTTTCCACCGAAATGCGAGTGCATTCCAGTATTGCGTTGCTTATGGGAGAGATAAATATCTCGGGTCACAGAGGGCGTGCTGGATCAAGGGTCACTTCCAGGAGGTTTTGGGTAAACTGAGTTTTGTGTTTACAGCTCATGTGGTTTTAGAAAAACAAATAAAATAAGGATGAGTTTGAGGAGGTTCTGGGCTTAATTTATATCTGACAACGTGCCTCCTCAAAGAAGCGTGAGGACAGACGGTGAGTCGCCTTGGAGACCGTTCTCATGAAAGCCTGTGTTGATTTCTTGGATTCCTGTCCATTCCTGTTCTTTGCAATCGATTGCTGTAACTCACACCATTTTATAGGTAAGATTTCAGGTTCTCACGGCAGCGATTATGAAGATCACTGTATTTCGGAATGTTGTGTAGTCTCCGTCAGCCCCGAGGATGCACACAGTAGAGGCACCTCTCAAACGTCGGTCACATTCTACGAGACTACACGTCACAGCATCCCGGAAGACAGCCATCTTCATGCTGTTTATTGTACCTGTTCATGTCAGATCCGTCTTCATAAAAGGTCGAAAGAGTCCTTTCCTTCGCATCCGTCACGTTCCGGTCGTATATTCCTCCGGTCATGTGTCCGGCGTTTTATTGGTCGTTAAATATTCGCAGCGTCATTTTGAATGTGCGACGTGACTTTTCAATGCCGCGTGTTGAGACGTAAATGACAAATTAAATAGGATCTATAAATCTGCAAGTGTCCTGCGGTACGAAGCTTCAAATTTATTTCGCGTTCATTATGTCAGGCTCCTTTAACCGTTTGTCGGAAAGCATCGAAACTTGTCGAAACATGTACAAACCTCTCCGAATGTGACCAAACCACAGTGAGTCTGCGAAGACTAGTTTATACGATGCCAAAGTTCCGTAAACGTGTAGAAAGGTGTCCAAATGCGTCGTGAACTCAATCTGTCGTCACGTATTCTAACCCGCCATAGAAAAGCAGATTACGATCCGCCCCCTCCTAAACAAGGGTGCCCGACCCAACCACGCCGAACACCAAAGAAATTAAACACAACACAAAAAAGCCATGTTAATTACAAACAAAAAAAAGAGAGAGAAGGAGACGAAGAATTGAGGAAGAGATAATGAAAGAAGGGAAGACGAAGGAGAAGGCAGAGAACGGAAGACAGGCTGTCCTGAGTGCTTTCATGATGCTCCTCAGCCTCTCCAGACAACTTCTTGGTTGTTACCTCAAGTTACACCACCGCTGTTTCCTTTCACTCCCTTCTCTATGCAGCATCCATTAATCTCCTACACACATGGTCTGAGTTGCTCACAGTTTCGTTAAACAAACCGCAAAAATTAATATGAAAATCGTCGAAATTAATCCGGTAGTTCGGGAAATCAAACGCCCGCACAAACAGTCGCGACCTCCTCCTCATGCTTTCATTTATGTTGAAGTGTGAAAATATCGCGTAGGTTAGGTTGGTTCATAGCGCAAAGTGATCTTTGAGTGACCGAGGATGCGAACGTCTGTGTGACACTTTCTTTCTCTGTGGTTCCAGGAACGTGGGTGTGCAGACTGCTGAGGTGGTGAGGCTACCACAGCCTCAGTACCTGATCGGAGCCTCGCCGTTGTGCACTCAGATCAGCGGACTCTCTCCGGGCCAGACAAAATTGTGTCAACTGTACCAGGACCACATGAGCGGCGTGGGTAGAGGTGCCAGGGCTGGCATCGCGGAGTGCCAGTGGCAATTCAGGCATAGGAGGTGGAACTGTTCAACGGCGCACGACAGCTCACTGTTCGGACCCATGCTGAAGATAGGTGAGCGATGAAGCTGCAAGCTTATCTGAAAAGCTGACAGTTTTCTATCAGACTACACGGACAAATAAATAATTAAATATCCATTTGCACCACCGAGAATATGTAGGATATCTGTAAGTTGTCTGCGATGTTTCAAAGTTTTTTGTCTTCCTTTGTTTCGTACACTTGAGAAGAGACCTCTCAGTTCGCCTGAACTGCTAATTGTATTTCCTTTCCTCCTTTCGAATTCGCATCTTCTAATTCTTATATAAATTGAAGTACGGATTTGAACGATGTTCCGTCTGTGGGCGTAGAGGACAGAAGTCCTTTGTGAGCAACTTCACCGTCAAATCCTTTTTTTCCCTTTTCTGCTAGAATGATCTTGAGTCATTATTTTATTCCAGTGATACACCGAGAACACTTGTCGATCTAGTTCTGATTCGTGTTTAGCCTGGGTTACTATGGATCGACTGTAGTCGGCCACCATTAAATCAGCCTCTCTGCCTTTGTTTACTTGTCTGGAAGGAAAAACAGTGCGCTAGTGATTTAGGAGAGGAGCCTGCTTCACCGTTTGTAATGATTGACGCCAACTGCACGTGTGAACTTACGCGTAATCGGTCAAAGTCAATTCCTCCCTCTCCCCTTTCTCACTCCTTCCCCCACGTGCAGTCTAGCGATGAACCGAGCATCGGCGAGTCTGTAATCCAGACCGGTTTCGACAAGGTGTTTATAATTCAGGTACTTCAGTGAATTTAAACACATCTTATTCTCATATTTTGTGACAACAGAATAAATTTATTGAATTCAGCTGCCTGGGGTTTGGCGCCTTTTTGTATTTTGTTTCTTGCAGTATAAACAGCCCAGTTATTTGGGCTGCTACTCGCAAAGAGCAGGAAGTCGCTATAGCTCATCTTATAACCGTTTAGTAAAACAGCCGAGTTATTTGGGCTGCTAATCGCAAAGAGCAGGAAGTTGCTATAGCTCATCTTATAACCGTTTAGTTGCTGTGACAAGTTTCCCAAAAAATACGCCTGAAGCCGACTCCTCGTGTCGTCTGTTCTGACAGCGATCGCTTTTTGTGCACACCCTGTTGACAAGAGTTCTGATTCCGCGGCAAGCAGATTTGTTATCGCTCTAGGAAATCGCGACTTTAATTGAAGTAATCAAATTTGCAACAGACGTAATAAGCTGTTTAGAAAGTAGGAGGCCGTTGGAACTAGGACCGGGCGCACAATCTTAATGACCCTTCGCCGGCTTCAAAAGCAAAATGCATGGCTCTCGCAGATAAACGGAGCTTCGAGACATTAGCACCGCGCGCCAGCACACACTGATACATTGATTCGAATGCTGCGTGCTGCGGGTGTGTCGCAAAACGAATAAATAGGAGCTTCGGCTCCTTTAACCGTTTGTCGGAAAGCATCGAAACTTGTCGAAACATGTACAAACCTCTCCGAATGTGACCAAACCACAGTGAGTCTGCGAAGACTAGTTTATACGATGCCAAAGTTCCGTAAACGTGTAGAAAGGTGTCCAAATGCGTCGTGAACTCAATCTGTCGTCACGTATTCTAACCCGCCATAGAAAAGCAGATTACGATCCGCCCCCTCCTAAACAAGGGTGCCCGACCCAACCACGCCGAACACCAAAGAAATTAAACACAACACAAAAAAGCCATGTTAATTACAAACAAAAAAAAGAGAGAGAAGGAGACGAAGAATTGAGGAAGAGATAATGAAAGAAGGGAAGACGAAGGAGAAGGCAGAGAACGGAAGACAGGCTGTCCTGAGTGCTTTCATGATGCTCCTCAGCCTCTCCAGACAACTTCTTGGTTGTTACCTCAAGTTACACCACCGCTGTTTCCTTTCACTCCCTTCTCTATGCAGCATCCATTAATCTCCTACACACATGGTCTGAGTTGCTCACAGTTTCGTTAAACAAACCGCAAAAATTAATATGAAAATCGTCGAAATTAATCCGGTAGTTCGGGAAATCAAACGCCCGCACAAACAGTCGCGACCTCCTCCTCATGCTTTCATTTATGTTGAAGTGTGAAAATATCGCGTAGGTTAGGTTGGTTCATAGCGCAAAGTGATCTTTGAGTGACCGAGGATGCGAACGTCTGTGTGACACTTTCTTTCTCTGTGGTTCCAGGAACGTGGGTGTGCAGACTGCTGAGGTGGTGAGGCTACCACAGCCTCAGTACCTGATCGGAGCCTCGCCGTTGTGCACTCAGATCAGCGGACTCTCTCCGGGCCAGACAAAATTGTGTCAACTGTACCAGGACCACATGAGCGGCGTGGGTAGAGGTGCCAGGGCTGGCATCGCGGAGTGCCAGTGGCAATTCAGGCATAGGAGGTGGAACTGTTCAACGGCGCACGACAGCTCACTGTTTGGACCCATGCTGAAGATAGGTGAGCGATGAAGCTGCAAGCTTATCTGAAAATCTGACAGTTTTCTACCAGACTACACGGACAAATAAATAATTAAATATCCATTTGCACTACCCAGAATATGTAGGATATCTGTAAGTTGTCTGCGATGTTTCAAAGTTTTTTGTCTTCCTTTGTTTCGTACACTTGAGAAGAGACCTCTCAGTTCGCCTGAACTGCTAATTGTATTTCCTTTCCTCCTTTCGAATTCGCATCTTCTAATTCTTATATAAATTGAAGTACGGATTTGAACGATGTTCCGTCTGTGGGCGTAGAGGACAGAAGTCCTTTGTGAGCAACTTCACCGTCAAATCCTTTTTTTCCCTTTTCTGCTAGAATGATCTTGAGTCATTATTTTATTCCAGTGATACACCGAGAACACTTGTCGATCTAGTTCTGATTCGTGTTTAGCCTGGGTTACTATGGATCGACTGTAGTCGGCCACCATTAAATCAGCCTCTCTGCCTTTGTTTACTTGTCTGGAAGGAAAAACAGTGCGCTAGTGATTTAGGAGAGGAGCCTGCTTCACCGTTTGTAATGATTGACGCCAACTGCACGTGTGAACTTACGCGTAATCGGTCAAAGTCAATTCCTCCCTCTCCCCTTTCTCACTCCTTCCCCCACGTGCAGTCTAGCGATGAACCGAGCATCGGCGAGTCTGTAATCCAGACCGGTTTCGACAAGGTGTTTATAATTCAGGTACTTCAGTGAATTTAAACACATCTTATTCTCATATTTTGTGACAACAGAATAAATTTATTGAATTCAGCTGCCTGGGGTTTGGCGCCTTTTTGTATTTTGTTTCTTGCAGTAAAAACAGCCGAGTTATTTGGGCTGCTAATCGCAAAGAGCAGGAAGTTGCTATAGCTCATCTTATAACCGTTTAGTTGCTGTGACAAGTTTCCCAAAAAATACGCCTGAAGCCGACTCCTCGTGTCGTCTGTTCTGACAGCGATCGCTTTTTGTGCACACCCTGTTGACAAGAGTTCTGATTCCGCGGCAAGCAGATTTGTTATCGCTCTAGGAAATCGCGACTTTAATTGAAGTAATCAAATTTGCAACAGACGTAATAAGCTGTTTAGAAAGTAGGAGGCCGTAGGAACTAGGACCGGGCTTCAAAAGCAAAATGCATGGCTCTCGCAGATAAACGGAGCTTCGAGACATTAGCACCGCGCGCCAGCACACACTGATACATTGATTCGAATGCTGCGTGCTGCGGGTGTGTCGCAAAACGAATAAATAGGAGCTTCCGGGTCGTCCAATTTAGCGCCAGGGTCAGAGCGGTAGCCGTACGAAACGTCCGTCTCACGAGCGGAGTGTCGAACTCTTATTCGATGAGCGATTCATTCATCGCGGAGGCCTAGGACTTCCACATTGCCAGGGCTTGACTCCTGAAGCTGGTTAAAGTATACACGCGTATGTATTCAATATGGCCGGAGTCGTGAGAATGCAAGACTCTGTGTTTAATGGTAATCGACTGATGCAGGGCACAGGGAGGATTATTAAGACAATTAACAAGTAAATCTTTGAAGCACGAAGTTTATTTAAGTAATGTTTAAAAAAAGAGATACAACGCAGCTTATGTAATATGGTTAATGCTATTTGAGGAAATGATCTCTGTTTGTTCTGAGCATTATGTTAAGGCATTAATTGCAGCCTGTGGGTAAAACACGAAGTTACTGAATGCTGATGCAGATGGTGAACGTACTTACGGGTCAGGTTAGGTTAGGTTAAACGTTCGTTTCGAAAACCGACAGAAAACACGGGCTGTGACTGAATGGTCGATTCATTGTTTGACTGAGATTAATCGGCCGCATGACCAGATTATTTGATTGTGTTAGAATAAACACTTCATTTTAGAAGCCACGAATTGAATAAAAAATTAAGTGAGTTGGTGAAGCAGTGATCGATTCCAATAAGTGGCCAAGTGGAGACGTGATATTAACATAGTATTAAAATAAGTTATTCTGTGAAGGAGTGGCTGGTGGATTAAGTGAATTGGTGAAGATTTCTGTCTTCTGGGTTGTTGCGCTGTGTAGTCTGGTCGATGTTAACCAACGTTTCAGAGGTCATACTGAATATTCATCGCCCTGATGACGGAGGCAGTATGACCTCTGAAACGTTGGTTAACATCGACCAGACTACACAGCGCAACAACCCAGAAGACAGAAATCTTCACCAATCATATTCACCGCTGTGAGAACCTCAAGTCTTACAAGTGAATTGGTGTTTGTGTCAACTGTAAATCCTTTCCTTCCCAATTCCAGTCGAGAATCCAGGCGCTTGAGGTGTTATTCATGACGCCGAGTTCTCCAAGCCATCTGCCGTATTCTGGCGGTCTGTCTATACCCGCCAGGCACTCCTCCCTTGTGATCCTCAGATCAACAATTCAATGCGGGACCGGGCGATGGGAGCTCTGTCATATCACTGCGTCAGAATGCGTCAACATGCAGACCGCATTTGTGTCTTTTATTGACTTGCTATCTGCTAATAACATAAACCAACTAACCTGACCACTTAACTGTGAGTAATTATCTAACTGAATCACGACACGTGATCGAATGGGAAAGTGTCTAGTCTTTTGATCTGACCAAGAAATTCCTGCTCCTAATGTAAGCAGGCCGTTCACAGAACCTTCATTTTAATCCTGCTGCGAGCCACGTGAACCCACACCGTATTTATCTGAAATCCATTTTAATAGCATCACTCTATCTACGCCTGGGCTTATCAAATTGTGAATCAGCTTAATTTTCTCACACTAAAATTCCATAAGCGTTTCTTATTTCTTTCATGCCAAGAAAATTTGTTTCTTCCTCAGTTTAAGAAGGTTGCAAAAATCATTAAACTTTTCTCAATTTTTATTTTCCTACATGAGTCCTGTACGTCAGTTGACAACACGTTTCGAAACTAATGTGTCATCATCAGGCCACAGATACTTACCTGTACTGTGAATATTTCAGACATAAATTTGGTAAACGTGTAGTGGAACAAATGTATTTTTGCCCTGATGATGACACACTGGCGACGAAACGTGTTGCCATGCGAAGTATGTGCACTTATTAAAAGTATATAAAAGTATCATGTTCACTGGAAAAGAAAAATCTTGTGTTTTGAAAAGAAATAAATCTCTCGTCGAATGCTTCCCGATCCACGTTTGTTCACTGAAGGATCAGTGACAGTCCAGGCTAATATGAGCCTCTCTGAAGCTTCATGAGGGTGGTGCAGCTGTGTCGTTATCCTGCCCCAGTGCACACACACACACATCGCCTGCACGTCTCTGAACGAAATAGCAGTCCCTAGTAACTGAGTGACTCACTCACCGTTTGTTCGGTTGCCTGCCGCGATGCTGTGTGATCGAATGATTTACCTGATGACCAGCTCATTAATTTTTATCCCTTCCTTTCCTGTAATATTTTCACAAGTTTCCCCCTTTCTCGTACTCGATGACTGTGGGTGGACCTTTCCATTTCCCTCCCTTCAAGCGTTTTCATTTTAGTCTGAAGATTGCTGTCTTCTGGGCTGTTGCGCCTTGTAGTCTGGTAGAAGTTTACTGACGTTTCAGAGGTCAT